GGAGATGACAGATAATAAATACGAATGAGCATAATCTCCTTTGTTTTTGAAAATGCAAAATAGAATATATTAAAAAATTCAATCTCACGTAGATTCTTTATGTTATGAAAATTCCCCCCCCCCAAAAAAATAACCTTACCTCTGTCACCTTCTCTCTTGTAGGATAAGTATGATGCCTCTGGGGACATTCCTTCTCCCTTTTCTGTGTTTCCTGCGGCCAACAATTTCACAGGAACTACGATATCCCACCTTTTCACGCAATGCCACCAAATTTATTCACTTTATTATGGATCCCAATTCAGGAACTCTGTATCTGGGAGCTACAAACTTCCTTTTTCAGTTGACCCCAGACCTGGTGATGGAAGAAGCAGTTTCCATGGGCCCGATCCTAGACAGCAAAGATTGTCTTCCTCCTGTTTTCAAGCAGGATTGTCCCCAAGCTCTGGAGACCGACAACTACATCAAACTCCTGTTGATCAACTCGTTAGAGAAGGAGCTCATTGTTTGCGGCAGTGTGTGGCAAGGGATCTGTGAGAAGAGGACTCTTGGCTTCATTAAACATGTCCTCTTCCAACCCCGGACACCAGGAGACACTCAATATGTGGTAGCCAATGATCCCAATATTTCCACCGTGGGGCTGGTTGGTTACTCCAAAGAAAATGTGCCGCTTCTCTTTGTTGGCCGAGGATACACCAGTCGGGGCGTTGGAGGCAGTATCCCTCCCATCACAACTCGCAATCTCAGGGCCCACCCAGGAGAGGTGCCAGGGCCCGACTCCCACTCCATCTTTTCCTACGAGGAAACAGCCAAGCTGGCTGTGGGTCGACTCTCCGAATACAGCCACCATTTTATCAAGTCATTCACTCATGGTTCCAGTGTCTACTTCCTGTTCTACCGGCGTGATCTCAAGTCGCAGTCCCGGGAATACAAGACGTACATTTCCCGGATCTGTCTGGACGACGCCCACTATTACTCCTATGTGGAGCTGCCCTTGGTCTGCAGGAACGAAGGGAAGACATATAGCCTCTTGCAGGCAGCCTACATGGCACAGACAGGGGTAGAAGGACAAGTGAGAGATTCACTTTTTGTGACTTTTTCTGCCTGGCAGGCTTCTTTGGGGAAGCTGAGTGAGGAATCTGCACTCTGTGTTTACCCCATGGAGGAAGTAGATCGCTTCATAACTCAAACCAGGGACCTTTGTTATACCAAGGACGGGAAAACAGAGGATGGCAGGGAGGTGGCCTACATAGAATACGATGTCAGCTCTAGCTGCGTCCAGCTCTCAGCAGTAAGTGCACTTTTATTAAATTTCTACATCACCCATCTCACCTAAGTGACTCTGTGTGGTTTACGACATCACATTTATTGCATATGGATGTAAATCTATCCAGGGTGCTGGAAAAGTCAGTGCCCACAAGCAATTTGTTATATCAATTACGTTAAAGGTTTGAATGGGTTGCCATTTGTCTAACGCATGACCTTTGAATAACCTAATATTTTCTCAGAAAAAAAATTAATAAAACATATTGCCCTTTGGGAATCTTACTGTAGGTACATCCTATGCATGTAATTCACATGGTTTTGGATGGGATTTCTAGGCAATTTGCCATTCAGGCCTTCTCATAATTCTCAGTTGTATTGTTTTCTAACAATGTCAACTGGCGGCCCCCAGGGGGAGAGCCTTCTCTGTGGGGGCACCTACTATCTGGAACGAGCTCCCCCTGGAGATACAGAGGATCCTGGATCTGCACACCTTCCACCGCACTCTAAAGACCTTTTTATTCCACCGGAGGGTCTGGCCTAACTTTCTCCCTCTTTTTAAACAATTTTAATAATTTTAATATTTTTAATATTTTTAATACTCAATGTTTAAATTTGTTTTAAATTGATTGGGGTTTTAATTTGTCTGGGCCAAACTATTTAATTCAATTTTATTTCTGCTTTTTAAATTTTGTATATATGTATTTTATTGTTGGCTGTTCACCGCCCTGAGTCCTTCGGGAGTAGGGCAGTACATAAATCAAATAAAAGTAAAGTAAAAGTAAAGTAAGCTGATGATCCCTCATAACCTTTAAGAAGTTTGTTGGCGGAGACGTTCCAGCAAACAAGGATGATGATGATTAGACTTCTGTCCCATTCATTCATTCATTCATTCATTGATTCATTCATTCATTCATCTATCTTTCTTGGTCAATTCAAGTTGGTGAACTCACCTAATACTCCTGCCTTCTATTTTCCCCATGACAATTAGTTTTTACCCGCCCCTGGACCTCATGCGGGCTGGACAGGGATACCCAAAGGGCCAGATGTGGCCTGGGGACCATAAAATGCCCAGGTCTGGTCAAAGAGCCTTGATAGTACAGGGGTTTAGTGCACCCTGTTATTAACACAGCTGCCTGCAATTTCTGCTGGTTCGAATCTCGCCAAGGCTCAAGGTTGACTCAGCCTTCCATCCTTTCTAAGGTAGGTGAAATGAGGACCCAGTTTGTGGGGGCAATAAGCTGACTTTGTATAAAACATACAAAAGAATGAAGGCTATTGCTTAACGCATTGTAAGCCGCCCTGAGTCTCCGGAGAAGGGCGGCATATAAATCAAATTAAAAAAAAAAAAAAAAAAAAAAGCTGTATCCAGCTCAGCGCAATATGCCTAGGATTTATTACTATTATTCAGCTGCACTGCCCCATTGATTCCCAGAGGGAATTCATAGGGTCCTTTCAGTTGGGGGAGACCAAATGGCAGCTGTCCAAGCCAGCTTAGAATCAGTCACTCTTCCCTGTTAGATGCTGTGGGCCTAATTCAGCACACAGGTCGCTTCTGATCTAATTTATGAATGATCTGCTTTGTTGGTCCCAGAGAAAGGCCAACTAAAGCTGGTACAGAGGTGAATGAAGTCCAGAATTCAGTTTTTTTTAAATAGAAGTAATAGACACCAACAGAGGTTTTTCAGTATAAATCCACTCATCTTGTATTCCTGAGCATTTGGCACTGAGAAGGATATTGGCTTTGATCCTGGAGGAGGTATGTAGCTATCATGAATACTGACAGTTTTATGTCTATTAATTTTTCTAATCCCCTTTTAAAACTGCCCAGGCTTCTGTGGTTTGACTTATGTCCCAAGTGAAAAGCTTCTTCTTGCCTGTTCAGAATGTCTCATAATTCAATTTCACTTGGTAAGAAATGGAGAGAAGCTTCCCTGCCACAGGTTAAACATGAGTCAGCGCATACATAAGTTGCTTAAAAGGCATATGTTATCTTAGGGCTCATGATCATCTGCATAGAGTCTAACTAATGGAAATTAATGGTTCTACTCTATTCTGCCCTGCTCAGATCCTGTTTGGAATATTATGTCCAAATTTGGGTACTGCAGTTGCTCATCTGTCAGAGATAGCCCTGTTGTGGAGTTTTTTAACCTTGGCCTCTTTAAGTTGTGTTGAATTGGCTGGGGAATTCTGGGAGTTGAAATCCACACATCTTAAAGATGCCAAGGTTGTAAAACAATGCTCTAGTGCAGAGGTCTTCAAACTTGGCAGCTTTAAGACTTGTGGACCAGTGGTGGGTTTCAAATTTTTTTACTACCGGTTCTGTGGGTGTGGCCTGGTGGGCATGGCATGGCTTGGTAGGTGTGGTTTGGTGGGCCTGGCAGGGGAAGGATACTGTAAAATCTCCATTCCCACCTCACTCTAGGGGAAGGATACTGTAAAATCTCCATTCCCTCCCCAATCCAGGGAAAGTTTACTGCAAAATTTCCATTTCCTCCCGATCAGCTGGGACTTGGGAGGCAGAGAATAGATGGGGGCAGGGCCAGTCAGAATTTTTACTACCGGTTCTCCGAACTACTCAAAATTTCCACTACCGGTTCTCCAGAACTGGTCAGAACCTGCTGAAACCCACCTCTGTTGTGGACTTCAACTCCCAGAATTCATGCTGGCTGGCTGGAAGTTGAAGTCCACAAGTCTTAAAGTCTTAAAGCTGCCAAGTTTTGGGGACCCCTGCTCTAGTGATTCTGTCAAGAGCAGGGGTTAGATCAGATGACCTCTGGGGCCTCTCTGCCTACTCTATACCAGATTCTGGTACTCTATACCAGGGGTCTCCAATCTTGGCAACTTTTAAGCCTGACAGACTTCTACTCCCAGAATTGCCCAGCCTGCTTTGCTGGCTGGGGAATTCTTAAAGTTGAAGTCCTCCAGGCTTAAAGTTGCCAAGGTTGGAGACCCCTGCTCTGTACCATCTCTTTGGATACCCAAGTGTTTCCTTAAAAGGAAGTTGAGTACTTTTGTAGCTTTTCCAGTTTAACAGTATTAAATTTGAGGCCCAGAATTAAGCGAGCTTACAAGATGGATTTGTATGAAAGGGTTAGGATCAGAGGCCTTTTGTTCTGGATTCATTTCTTTTTTAATATGCCGGTAATCTTTATTGAAAGTTTTAATAGAATAGAATAGAATTCTTTACTGGCCAAGTGTGATTGGACACACAAGGAATTTGTCTTCAGTGCATAAGCTCTCAGTGTACATAAAAGATAAAAGTGATGAATCATGATCATAGTCATCATAAATACATTCATCATAAATCATACGATACAACACTTAATGATAGTCATAGGATACTAAATAAGCAATCAAAATCACACTAGGAAACTAAATAAAACAATATAAATCATAAGATACAAGCAACAAGGTTCTACTCATAAGTAGAAAAGGAGATAGGTAATAGGAAGGATGAGAAGAATAGAACAGAACAGAACAGAACAGAACAGAATAGAATTTTATTGGCCAAGTGTGATTGGACACACAAGGAATTTGTCTTGGTACATATGCTCTCAGTGTAAATAAAAGAAAAGATACATTCATCAAAAATCATAAAGTACAACACAATGATAGTCATAGGGTACAAATAAGCAATCAAATCATATTAGGAAACAGTCAATATAAATCGCAAGGATACAAGCAACAAAGTTACAGTCATACAGTCATTAGTGGAAGGAGATGGGTGATAGGAACGATGAGAAGATTAATAGTAATGCAGACTTAATAACTAGTTTGACAGTGTTGAAGGAATTATTTGTTTATGTCATGAATAAATGCCTTGCCTCTGATCCAGATCCAGAAGCAGGGGGGCTGGGCAAGCCAACCCCCAAGGTCCACCCTAACCCAATGACCCCTCCTTACCTTAGCCACGCCCCAGGGGTACTTAAGGGTCGGCCATGCGGTCCTGCCTCAGTTCCAGACTTGTACCTGTAACGATAAGATGCTTAATTAATAAACAATACTTGATACACTAAGATTTTGTCTATGGAGTTATTGGGCACGATCCTCGAACATATCTAACAAAATGGTAGCAGAGGATGGTTGGATAGCCCAATCCTGATACTCCACGACATGCAAGGGACCACAACAGACAGGGTGAATACCAGAGCATTCACCAAGAAGATGGCAGGACGATCTGCCCAACCCGAAACCACGCAAGGAGAGGCACCCGAGACGAGCGGCCTACTCCACCACCCATCCACCCCGGCCAGGAGCAACGAGGAGTGGACGAAACACGAAACCTCAAAGGAAGAGATGCACGACCTAAAAGGAAAACTCCTCGAACTGATAGATTCGTCGCAAAGCAACAGCGGCCTCATCGCGGAACTCCGAAGCCTGATCAAAGACTCCGAAGCAGCGAGTGAGGAAGATGAAGACGAATCCGACTACAGCGAAGGAGACCCGGTAAGGGAAGATTTCCCCCACCAAAAACTTACCGCAAAGGCCGAAGGAGACTTCGCGCCCTTTTCACGGCGGCCATCTTGGGAGACGGCGTCATCAAAGATGGCCGACCATCCACCAATAGACTCCCAGGATTTAAATCCTATGGCGGGAATCGGGGCCTACTCAAAAACTACCGACCAAAAATACTACAAAAAACACAAAGGCCCAAAAACAAAACCTATAAGCTCACCAACCGAGCCCGAAGTCAACAAGGCCATCGAACTAATCGCCGCGGCCCTAGGGGACAAGGTAAAAATACCGGCCGTACATCCCGGCGCCAGGCCGAAAAATAAAAGGGACCCCAACGCGACGAGGGTCGGCACCGGCACCCACCCTGGGAAGGATGCCACCATCGCGTGGACCCAGGACCACCCAGAGCCCCTAAGAGGTCCACCCACTAGAGCCGGAAGCCAAGGGCGATGGGACTACTCACCAGACCGACGACCGGGACCAGACCCGTGGATCGCGAGGCCATCCGCAGGCAGAGGACGTCCATCGGCGGGCAGGGGGATCGGCCCGGCACCCGCAGGCGACATCCGCGCGAGACCGGGCCAACCGGGACCATTCGCGGCCCCAACGGGACTCCCAACGTCCACCGGCGATCCTCACCGTTTTCCGAGGCTCCAGGCGACGATCCGCGACGATCCCGAGCAGGCAAGGCCAACCGGAGAGGAGCTGAAGGCCCATCCGGAAGATTGGGGCCTTCATCCGGGAGCAGCATGGATGAGCTCCTCACTCCACGACGACTGGGGAGAAATGAACCTCACGCATGCGCAGCACGCCCCTGTAAGAAAAACGGAACAGGACATAGAGCTACACCGACGCAGACACGTAGATACAAGTCAGTTCAGACTTGCCACAGTCGTTCCTCTGCCATATTGCGAGTATCCTTACGTGAGGAACCATGGACAGCGACATAATGTGAGTAACTTAACTTACAATTCAGGGACTTTACCCAGTGATTTTCCAAAACTGAGGCTAGATGGGGAGAATTTCCTGGACTGGAATCAGCAGCTCCAGGGCACCCTGCTTAAGGAAGACCTGCTATCCATGGTCACAGACCCCCCAGAAAAACCCTGGACTTTTGAATTGGATTGCATCCATCACAAAGCTTACTGTATTGTCATTGCCAGCATTACCCCCAGCATTTACCCCAGTATTGGCCACCACCTGACTGCATTAGAGATAATACAGAGAATGCACAAACTGTTTTACTGCCAAAGCGTTGCCAGCACCACCAGGCTGTCTAGGGAGTTTTATGCCACTAAACTCAAGGCAGGGACACCCATGAGCGAGCATTTACTATCACTAAATAATACTAGGGCCCAGCTGACACAAAGGGGGGAGGTCATAAGCGAGAGGACCATGATAAGTATCATAGTAAATTCCCTAGATCCCAGTTGGGACACCTTTGTTACACAGATAGACAATCTAGGGACAGGGAGGCTCTCACTTGAATTACTAACAAGTAAACTAATATCAGAGGATTGCATTAGAAGGGAACGCTCCCTAAGCCGCAGGGAGCAAAGACCCAGCAGAAAGATTGAGCCACAGAGCAGGAGCCAGAGCAACACAGAGTGCTATATATGTGGGTCAAGAAACCATTACAAGAGGGACTGCCCTAAAAATACAGGGGACAGGATACATAGGAGAGATAGACCAGAACAAAGGACAAGGCACACTAGCGGACGCTCGCCAGAGGTCAGGCACAGGCGTAGGGATTCACCTAGCCCTAGAGACAGGAGAGACCACAGGGACAGTTCCAGGGAGAGTCACACTGGATCACTATACGGCATAGGGGATCAAGCACAACACGTAGGCCAAGACAGGGAGGAAGGCACATGGCTGCTGGACTCAGGAGCCACAAACCACACCACACATGATCGCAACCTACTAACCTCTTTCACAGGAGAAAGTTTTGTAGTGAAAGTGGCTAACCAGAATAACGTACAAGTAACAGGCAAAGGTAATGCATACGTACCAGGAATAGGTATGGTACGGGGAGTACTCCTAGTACCAAATATACCATATAATATCCTTGCCACCCTAAAACTAAGCAAGGATAACAATGTCGAGGTGACTTTCAAAGAAGGAAAGGCACAGGTGACCAGAGGGGGTAAAGGGATAGGGAAAGTAGTAGTCAGTGGGGAACTACCATTCTTCCACCCAACCAAGAGCACACAGCCAGAAGTGAACAACCACCGAGGGGTTAACTCCAATAACACAGGCAACGCAAGCAAGGAGATAGAGGGGGTTGAGCACACACACACCACCGATGAACCCAATGAACAGGGGACACCCAGGAAGGAGAAACCAATGATAGGGAAACCAATGCATGACAACTGTGCCCACCTATTACACAGGAAACTAGGACACATTAGTTTCCCCGTAGTACAGAAAATGTTGGAATGCTCTGAAGGTGTAAAAATAAAGGATTGTGAGAACTATCTCGAGTGTTCTATTTGTAAGGGCTCCAAATTAAAAACCAAACCAAGGCCCAAGAAGTCAGTACGCACAACTAATTCGGTTTTCCAACTTGTACATATGGATCTAGTGGGGCCACTAAGGCCTTCCATTAAGTACAGGAAGAGGTACTTCCTGACCATAGTGGATGACTTCAGCCGCTATGGCTTCGTGTACACTCTAAAACACAAAAATGAAGTTTTTCAAAAATTTAAGGAATTCTATGCGAGGGTGGAGACACAACACAACACCAAAATCAGGCAAATAATGACAGACCGGGGGTCTGAATTCTTATCAAGCGACTTCTCGCGATGGTTAAAAGCACGCGGGATGGTCCACTACACGACTTCTCCTTTTTCCGCTTTTCAAAATGGCGTGGCGGAACGAAAAAACGGAACGCTACAGACCATGATGAGGTGCGCACTAGACGATGCCGGCCTAGGGCAGCATTTCTGGTCCGAAGCACTCATTTATTCGAATTATACTCTAAATAGACTGTGGTCCAGCGTACTAAATAAAACCCCATATGAATTAATGTACCAAAGGAAACCACAAGTGTCACACTTACACATATTCGGGGTCACTGCAGATGTGCACATACCCAAGCAACTCAGGCGTAAGGGGGACAGGGTATCCAGGAGGTTGAGGTTCATGGGCTATGAACCGGGAACAAAAGGATACAGATTCATAGACAACAGCAACAATTTCGTGATATCACGAACAGCTGTTTTTCACGAAAACGCTAACTGGTCCAAAATACACCTCAACGAGGTGTCCCTTAACAAGGACGGACCAGGGGATGATCAAAAGGAAATGAAACACCAAGCAGAGAGGGACACTGAACACAGAAAGAACAAACCCAGAGGACAGGAAATACCAGTGAAGGGATGGAAGGAAAGCCACCCGCTCATTAAAGTAGACGCACTCACCGAGAGGGAAGCTAGGTACATGCATGACACAGAGACACCTCCTGACAGACCAGTCAGGACAAACAGGGGCAAAAGGCCAGAAAGGTTAGGGGACTACATATTATCCCTACACAATAACCAACTAACCCCCAACACATATGAGGACGTACTGGGGTTACCAAATGAGGAGAGAGAGAAATGGGAGCAAGCCATGGAAAGGGAAATGGACAGCTTGAGGGAACTAAATGTATACACTCCCTCTAAAGTTCCAACAGGAAAGACAACCATAGGCACTAGGTGGGTCTATAAGATTAAGACCCTAGAGGGAAACAAAGTGCTCTACAAAGCAAGGTTGGTGGCCCAGGGATTCGCCCAGAAATACCCTGATGACTACACGGAAACGTACTCCCCCACAGTCAGGGCTGAGAGCGTGAAATGTGCACTGGTGGTCGCATCACTGCTGGGGCTGGAGGTGCACCAATTCGACGTGCAAACCGCTTACCTGCACGCTGAGCTCGACAAAGAGATATACGTGAGAGCGCCACCCAGCCAAAGCACCAAAAAGGGGGAAACCTGGATTTTAAACCGGAGCTTGTATGGACTCAAACAGTCAGGGAAACGTTGGTATGAGTGCCTATCCAAGACATTGAAATCCATGGGGTTCTCAGCCACCTCAGCCGACAACTGCTTCTTCACCAAGAAGTCAGGCAACTCCCCCGAGTATGTTTTGATATACGTAGACGATATATTGTATATCGGCGATCAAGCCAGCAAATGCAATAACTTCGCCAATGAGCTGGGGAAACATTTTACACTAAAAATATTGGGCAAGGTAGACAAATACCTGGGGGTACAGATCACGAAGACCGACAAGGGTTTTCAGTTGTCACAGAAGGATAAAATTTTAGAACTAATACACAAATGCAGCATGACAAACGCCAAGGGGTGTGAAACGCCAATGCAGCCAGACTTCTTGAAGGACATGTATAATGAGGCTGAAGCGTTCAAGGACAACACTTTATATAGATCCACCATAGGCTCCCTACTGTACATTGCAAACTGGACCAGGCCAGACATCGCATTGCCAGTCAATTTGCTGTCAAGACACGTGGGTAAGCCCACCGTGTACCACTGGGAGGCCATCAAAAGGGTATTAAGGTATTTAAAGCAAACTTCCGAGGCCTGCCTGTCATTAGAACCCAAGAACACCAAAGCACCCACACTCACGTGCTATGCTGACGCTGACTGGGCTGGAGACGTGAAGTGCAGGAAAAGCACTTCGGGTTACATATTTTTCCTAAACAACAGCCCAGTTCACTGGTACACAGGCAAGCAAGACTTGGTAGCCACATCCACCACGGAGACTGAATATATCTGCTTGTCTAAAGCCGCCAACAACCTGGTCTGGTTTGATGACCTGCTCGCTGACATATGGGCCGAGCCAAGCTATCCCATCATCATGCACGAGGACAATAAAGCCGCCATGGAAATATCTAAGGCTGAAGCAGTGGGTCAAAGGTCGAGGCATATCGACATAAAATACAAACATGTCAGGCAGTTCGTGAATATAGGTTTTGTGGAGGTCATACATTGTGACACGGAAGAACAAACAGCAGACATCCTAACAAAGCCGTTACAAAATAAACAGCACACATATCTCACATCAAAATTAGGAGTCCTCTTGAAAAAAAACAACTCAAGTACATAACATAGAAAAATATCTCGGCCAGGCATTTAGAGGGGGTTTTGTCATGAATAAATGCCTTGCCTCTGATCCAGATCCAGAAGCAGGGGGGCTGGGCAAGCCAACCCCCAAGGTCCACCCTAACCCAATGACCCCTCCTTACCTTAGCCACGCCCCAGGGGTACTTAAGGGTCGGCCATGCGGTCCTGCCTCAGTTCCAGACTTGTACCTGTAACGATAAGATGCTTAATTAATAAACAATACTTGATACACTAAGATTTTGTCTATGGAGTTATTGGGCACGATCCTCGAACATATCTAACAGTTTAGCAGAGTAATGGCATTTGGGAAAAATATTCTTGTGTCTAGTTGTTCTGGTGTGCAGTGCTTTATAGCATCGTTTTGAGGGTAGGAGTTGAAACAGTTTATGTCCAGGATGTGAGGGGTCTGTAAATATTTTCACAGCCCTCTTTTTGACTCGTGCAGTATACAGGTCCTCAATGGAAGGCAGGTTGGTAGCAATTGTTTTTTCTGCAGTTCTAATTATCCTCTGAAGTCTGTGTCTGTCTTGTTGGGTTGCAGAACCAAACCAGACAGTTATAGAGGTGCGGATGACAGACTCAATAATTCCTCTGTAGAACTGTATCAGCAGCTCCTTGGGATTTAACAATTATTAATAACTATTAACAGCAATAATAATAAATGCAAACAAAAATGGAACATTTCTTAAAGTTCCTCCTATAGAAAACAGCTTCTCTTCATAGCACTAGCTTGACATCTCAATAAACTAGCTGTCATAACCCTAAGATCTCTCCAGATGTGTTGCTGTCATTTTGCATCTCATCAGGCACAGGGGGGGGAAGGTCCGGAGACTATCTGGCCGCTTAAACATTGTTTGCTATTTTTTGTCACTGGCCAGCTGAGAGAGAGAACAAACTGCTATTAGCATCAGGAAAGCAGGAGCCTTCTTCAGAATTGCCATATAGGAAGAAACAATGATCTTGCCTGATTTGAGATCCCAAGAAGATATGAAATTAAAGCTTTCCTTGCCTCTTCATTGGTCCTGATTTCCTTCTAGGCCGGAGACAGTTCTTTCTGAAATCCCTTGGCCTTCTTTCTTGGAGACATACTTTCCTCCTAAATCCTGGCTCTTCTAGATCAGACCCGGGCATTTTATGGCCCCTGAATCATATCTGGCCTGTTGAGTGTCCCTGCCCAATGTGCGTGAACTCAGTCGGAAAGTAGAAATCAAAAGTGTATGCCACACATTCAATACAGCCGCACTGCTTTTATTTTGAAGGCGTTTTATGTATTTATGTAATTTATGTTTATGTGTGTGCCTTTGCACCTTCGCAGCTCTTTTGGTTTGGCCCCTCCATCCCAATTTGTCATGTGGCCCCTTGGGAAAATTAATTGCCCGCTGCTGTCCTACATTGATTCTGAAAGTGCAAAAAAAATATATTCCAATATTCAGCTGTATATGGAGGAAGCTTATTCACAAGGCATGTCTTTTAATTGACTCGGGTAGATACCGCCTTCACTGTGACACTTTTTGCACATCACAGACAACATTTAATTTTGTAATTGCTGTTGTAGCAGTACTAAACAGAAATGCGTAGCATCATAATTAACTTTGCTGCACAAGAGAATAATAGGTAATTTAAACTCTGCGTGGGTTGTTTTATTTTTCCTGCTATAAATTGAACTTCTAAATTGTTATTTCAAATGCCCTAATCATATACTTCAGAAATAATTAACTCTCCTCCTGTCTCAATACACACAAACACTTTTGGGAGTCACAGAAACATACATTTGCGGAGAGAGATGTTTGTAGCTAGAATATAATTTGTGCCATATTATTATAAAGCATCTAGATATTTGGAGGGAGTGCCGTAAAAAATATTTCCAAAGTCTTGCTACTGATGATGTTATTTTTGTTTATTTATTTTTTATTAGTCATATTTCTATGCCACCCACTCTCCGAGGACTCTGGGTGGCTTACACCAAAGACAGTATACTAAATAGCATATTGCCCCCAACAATCTGGGTCCTCATTTTACCCACCTCGGAAGGATGAAAGGCTGAGTCAACCTTGAGCTGGTGAGATTTGATCCCTGATCTGCTGAACTAGCAGTCAGCTGAAGTAGCTATAGTACTGCACCCTAACCACTGCGCCACCTCGGCTCTTTATCTTCTCTTTGTGGCGTCCTCCAGATGTATGGACAAAATGCCTGAAATCATTGCAGTGTCCATTTTGGCTGGACTACAACTGTATTAGCAGAGTGCCCAGACTGGGCGCTCCCTTTAGATCAGGGGTGTCAAAGTCAAGGCCCACAGGCTGGATCTGGCCCGCAGGGTGTTTAGTTCTGGCCCGCGCGACCGCCATGGAAATAGCGAAAGATCGGCCCGCAGTGCCTCTGCCAGCGAAAACAGAGCATGCGCCCCTCCCGAGCTTCGTTTTCGCTGGCAGAGGGTTGCAGGAGGCCATCCCAGCCAAAAACAGAGCTCATATTCGCTGGCAGAGCACTCAGGCCACCATAGGTGCCCCGCGGCACGAGTGATGTCAAGCTGCCCCCCCCCCAGTCAAACACAATCCTGATGCGGCCCTCAATGAAATTGAGTTTGACACCCCTGCTTTAGATTGATGATTTTGTGAGGGAAATTGTTCCAATATCTCATCCTAAAACACATAAGCAGAGTTTTGATAAATCACACTAAAGATCCATTCTCAAGAGGCTTTTGGGAAGCTGGGAAGGGAGAACCAGGCAGTATCCTTTGTTGTTGTTTCTCCTGTCTATAATTATTCTTCTGTGCCTCTAACACCTAGATAAACTCTTAGAGGCTAAATATAAGAGGAGCAATTACAGCCACGGTAGTGCTTTTTGAGGGAGGCCATGCTCACTCATGGCTACTGCTGCATGTTATGTCAATGAGCTGGAAAATATTACATTGTGTGGATCCAGCTTTTCTTCCTTCATCTGTCCTAGGCAGAACATTTTAAATGGAAAAGGCTGAGTGGCTTCAGGGATCAACTGATTTCCAATTCTGAGGGCAAATGCATAAGTGAATGCACAGACACACACCCTTCACAGCCCTGTTCTCCATGGTTTCTTTGTCCTATATAAGCGTAGTATATAAGTGTATATATAAGTATATGAGCGTAGTACACAAAATTATCTGCTACAATGTCCTACCTGTCGATGACTACTTCAGCTTCAACCGCAATAATACACAAGCACAGAATAGATACAAACTCAAGGTAAACCGCTCCAAACTCTATTGCAGAAAATACGACTTCAGCAACAGAGTGGTCAATGCCTGGAATTCTCTACCTGACTCTGTTGTTATATCTTCAACCCCCCATAACTTTAACCTTAGACTGTCTACTGTTGACCTCACCTCATTCCTAAGAGGTCTGTAAGGGGCATGCATAAGTGCACCAGTGTGCCTTCCGTCCCTTTCCTACTGTTCCCATTTATTCATACCCATTTCCTGTATTAATATCCATGTTTATACTTATTCCTATTATCTCGTACATTTTTGACAAACTAAATAAATAAAATAAATAAATATATTCAAAAATGCTCAGGCACATCCACTTCAAAGCATCAGGTAGCTGGGAATGAGAAAAATCTGCCCTGGTTTTGGGAGACACAGCAGAAGAAAATAGGATAAAAGAAAGAAAAAAATGACTTTCTTGCCATTCTGGTTCTTCCTGGCAACGGAAGAGTTAAAACTTCCTCTTTTGCCACTTCTCTGATTTAAGCATCTTCCTGTTCACCTACCCCACCCCCCACCCCCAATTTTGCAGCTGCTTGGCCAGCCTCCAGATTCCCAAGCATGGCTGTCCATCAAATATCCATCCTGCTCTTAGGAGAGAGGTGAGGGGTGAGAGGGAGGATTTTTAGAAAACTGCAGCCAGCCAAAACTCATCAGAGGAGGGAGGAGGGGAACAGAACAGGAAGTGCCAACCTACTTGTTAGAAAGTGTCACACTGAAAATCCTCATCCCTGAGCATTTACTGTGATTGCTGTTCTTGCCTAGCAGAAACTCAAAAATTTACAAACGATAGTTAAACAGCCCAGTTACAACACTGAGTTTTACTGTGTTTCCCGCAACTTGCATGAAGTTAGTCCTCGAGTTACAACCATTAATTTAGGGACCATTCAAAGTTGCAACAGTACTGAAAAAAGTGACATGTCCGTTTTTGACACTTACGACCATTGCATGATCAAAATTTGGACGCTTGGCAACTGGCATGTATTTATGATGGCTGTAGTGTCCCGGCATCATGTGATCAATCACCTTTTGTAACCTTCTGAGAAGCACACAGTGGGGAAGCCCAATTCACTTAATAACCGTTTTACTAACTTAACACCTGCAGTGATTCACTTAACAATTATGGCAAGGAAGTTCATAAAATGGGGCAAAATTCACTTAAGAGCCATCTGGACTACCTGTGTTATAGTTACAGCTGTGGTTGCCCCAGAGCATGTGGGTTTTTGGAAGTGGGGAGAGAGACAGAGGGAGGGAGGGAAAGAGAGAGAGAGAGAAAGAGAGAGAGAGAGAGAACAACATAGTGTGTTGTTTGGGAAGAATCAGCTGCTTAACAGCTTGTTATAAATAAGGATGATAAATTTTAAGATTTCACCTCTGGCTAATTTCATTAGATTGACAAGGATTTCAAATTCTCTGTTGTTTAACAGCAGAAGTGAGAAAACCTTATTTCTTCCCTACACATTACTCCTAAACTGAAAGAGGGAAGATTTGGGATACCTACGTCGTAGTTTGGGCCTTTTTGAGTGTAAAAAATAAGAGATCTGTTTATTTCAGGTGTAAAACAAAAGCTAAACTGTCTCAGAAGAAACAAATTCTCTGAATTGGTTCAGAGATCTATTTAGCTCTAAATAGGTGTCCTTTTCCAGCTGACCCTCACTGATGGATTTAAGATTCTTGACCAAAACAACAACAACCCAAAACAAAACATAATCAGGTCCCAATTATTCTTATTCTTGTATTTTCCTTTATTCCAAGTATGGATTGTAACAAGTGAGGCCAGAAACAAGGTGGGTGCCTCTTGTGACTCACACAGCAGGTTTGATGTACAAACACTGCAGGTTGATGAAGGACATAAGGAGGATATATGATGACCTGCAGATCAGAGGAATGTTAAAAGTCCTGACTACCCGAACTGGTTTAAAACCTGGCATACTCTGCTCCAGACCTCAGATCTCTCAGCCATGAGCTATGGTAAATGAAGTTATTAAGGG